ATGCTTGAATGAAAAACTGATCACAAGAAGCCCCATTTATAGGGGGAGGGCAAAGTAACCGACGGCGCCATTATCTCCCTCGAAAAGCGTAACAGTAGGCGCCATCAATACGTTCATGGAAGCTAAATCGACGGCAACATTATGACCCCTAAGAATGAGGAGTCACGACACATTGGACGACCCTGAAGAAGCGAAAGGGTGAAACGCCTCGGCACTTGTAAAAGGGGCTACGCCATCAGCACGACGTCATTATGGGAGCCCGTGAAGTGGGGTGTCAAAATCATTTCTTGTCGCTTCTCTCTAAGAAACGCGGAGACTATCTGTGCACGGTGAAATCAGAGGACCAATTTCTCGTTGATAAATTGCTTCAGCAGGTCGTCTCGGAGGATCGGGACTCAAGCCGGCCACTTCCCTCAAGATCTGTCGATACCCAGCCAAGGATAACATCGGCCGAAACCTCGACGAACACGGGAAGCCTCCGAAGAATGCATCCGGAGTCGATTGAGTCTACTTGGGCAGCCTAACATTGGCCTATGCATATGTCATGAAGCTAGTTATCCGTCCCATCCCATTTCCTTTATCACTCAACGTTTCTTGTACTAAGTTTGGACTCCCCCCTTTTTATAAAAGGGGAGTCGCTAACACTCTGTAAGGCAGAGCACCAACTATTCTACATAAGATCAATAATATCTCTCTCTCTCTCTTTCTTCTCCCTAACTTGTTCGCTCTTACTCACTCGAGGCCCCTCTTAGCATTTATTGTCTTCGTACTTGTTCTTTATTTATTGCTTGATATTAGCCATAAAGAGCCTTTTTTAATTATATTCTAACTGTTGTCCCTTCCCCGGTTGCCCCTAAAAGCTCGAGCTCGAGCCGGATATCGATCCCGAGGTCCTTCATCGGCCCGTCCGATCTCGGGCAGCAAGCCCCTCGGTTTGATTACTGCCCCGTTTTAGTTCGTATCTCATCGTTAAAACTTCATACTATTAGCATCAACTGCTCTAACAACTAGCATAAAGATAGATCACGTATTTTTAGAATCTCATTTTACAAATTTAATTGTCATTACCATTTACACGGTAAACAGACATGAATTAAAAAAACTAACAAATACCAAATCCTAGAAAACTTAGGAATATTAAGTTTATGTTTATATAGAGAGAGAGGAGAGGGGATCATTTGATAATTCATCATTTACCATATAGAGCTTTATTCTGCCTCTTTTCCTTTACAAAAGGCCTTGCAAAGAGTCAATGACGTTTCATATAATACAACCAAGATACCTGTTTGAAATAAGGGTAATCATATAATACGAATTGGTAAAGTTCAAGTCATAATTATTGGTTTAATTGAAATGGTAGAAAACTAGTTGCTCCGTCCATACTCTTTGACGTGATTTTTTCATCAATTTTTAACTATTTGATCATGTGATCAGAGGCGGATCTAGAATTTGAAGGTGGAGGATGTTATAATTTCTTTTAATATACACCTTGTAATGACTAATATAGAGTTTGTTTGGAATATTTGTTCGGTTTATTTTTTTAGTTTGTTCGGGTAATTTAATAGGTATTTTTTATTTGTAAATATGAAAATTATATCTTTTTTCCATCCCCTACTATGAGATTTACTGAGTATGTTATTGTTGTTGTATGAAAATTACATCTCAGTCATCAAAAAGCAAACATAATTAGCATTTTAAGAAGGAATCACACCTTTATTATTAACAACATAAGTAAAATTAATATTCTCACTAGGGAATTATATCTTTTTTGTATACTAAAAATAAATTTGTACAAGTAAAATAATATCTTCAATAAGAAAATTCCACCGATCAGAATAAGAAAAATAAATAAAATCTTCAATGGACAAATTATACCTCATAAGTAAATGTAGAATTCGATAAACTACAAGTTCCAAAAAATTAAAATCATAAAATCTCATGTTTTTCTAGGCAATGCTTATTCATCAAAATTTATTAAGTAAAGAGATTTAAATTGTATTTGACAGTTATAGAATAGCACAAACTTTTATTATAATAAAAAAAGAAACTATAAAAATTAAATTTGATTTAAATCCAAAATTTCCATCAAGATCCAAGTTTTCCGACTTTGAAAGAAAAAAAACTACTTAAAAGATTTGAGATTAAGAGAAATGCTTATTTTATGAAATTTTTAAATTTTGGAGGTCCTTTTTTGAGTGTTCTTGCTAGAGATCACAAATAAAATAATAGAATAGAGGAAAAAGATATAAAAATAATAATAGATAAATAGGAAATTGGGAGGTAGCAAAAAAAAAAATGGCTGGGACAGAGGAAATAAAAAGCACGGCAAAATGAAAAGTCAGACAAGGTACAAGATGAATTCGAACTTGAATTTTACATGCGAGAAAAGCTTTCAAAAAGGTACCATGAAGTCAACCAGCCATGGTACCTTTTTGTCTAGCTTGCGACTGGGAGTGCCAGGATTAAATGTTTGACCTAGTTTAAGAATTTTTTTTACATAAATATATGATAATTTTACCAACTTAGTGGTGCTGTAACAACCCACCCCAAAGGGTGGATCCGCCCCTGCTTGCTAGAGATCACAGCTAAAATAATAGAATAGAAGAAAAATATAAAAAATAATAAACGACAAATAGAAAATTAGGAGGTAGCTAAAAAGGAAAATAACTGGGACAAAGAAAAATAATCATTAGTTTGATTATCACTGTATTTATGGACCAAAAAAACTTGTAAAGTAAACCGAATTAAATGAAAAATTGATCAAACCGAACCAAATTAATTCAAAACTGAGCGAATCGGTCAAATGTAAACTATTTCAACCTCCTTGACTAGTGATAAGTTTACATTGAATACAATGACACCCGTATCTATCAAATTTTGAATCCGCATCTGACCTTGAAAATTATATCAAGTACCTATTACCTTTCACCGGCATAAGCAGGGATAACTCTGCCCATCAAATACCAGGAAGTGGATCACGTTTTAATAGTGAAATTGCTCTGCATAAAAGTCAAGCAAAGAAGAAAAGTTGCTATAAGCAAAGCAATAGCATTCCATGGACTGCTAAACTGTGATTTAGTTCAGCAATCCAAAGTAGAAAGATTGTAATTTAATGTCCTTCAAAGAATCAGTAGAGTTTGGCTTAAAGCAAATATTCTTTGCTTTGAGTTCTGTAACTGATCAAAATGAATGAACAGATCGATTTCTTCACATTATTTTCATCACCAGCTCTTCCTCTTAGTATAAGGATCACGTATTATTATAACAATAGTAGTAACAATTATTAATCGACAATCATTTAAAGTTTTATTAATTAAGTAATTAATTCACATTTCGGAATCCAAATTGAGCTGCTCTGTAATAGATTAAATAGTATTATAGCTCAAAGATCCAGATCGGGACAAGCATACCTAAAAGAGTTGATCACTGGTTGTTGATTGATGGCGATATACAATAACCTAAAATTTTAAAAATACACGTTAGTTAAGATTGAAAAAAAAAAAAAGAAACAGAGAAGTGGAAAAAACATGCAACTACTAAATTTCTAGGACAAATATTAGCAAAGTAGTTGAGACCACGAGGAGTATTATATTAGGAGTTATTATTCTATTTATTATAAAAGTTGTTTGCTTTTCTGTTTTTCAGATGAAATAAAATTGCTATGCAGACCTTGAATTGTCTTTCAAAATGGATTCTATTGTTTAGATGAACTCGACGTCCAAATATTTTTAAAAAAAAATTAATATCAAAATTTTATCCCTCACGTAGTTTGTTTTTATAAAGGAAATTTTAAATGAAAGTATAAAAGTCGATCAGGTCAATATTTCGGGGATATTTATAGAGATAGCTTGTGCAGTACCGTTCTCTTCTTCTTGAGAAATGAATTGTTCCAATCGAGAAATGAGCATATCAAAATCATGCTGACGCGTTACCAGACCGAGCCGAACATAAGTATGATCTGCAAAGAATCCGCTGCCCGGATGACCTCTGATGTTTGCTTCTTCCAAGAAGACATGTGTGCAGTTTTTATCTTCTTCCCTTTTGCACTTTACCCATGTGAATGCTGCAATCAACAACATTTCTATATTAGAACAACAAGCACGCGCGCGCACACATGCACAGAGCGGCATATATCAAATTGTGCACACACACACATGCACATGGTGGCATATACCGAATTGCACACACACGCACACGCACACGTACATGGTGGCATATATCTATATTTGTATTATGTTTAAGTGATGTCGGATGCACCCATAGCAAA